ATTCTGAACCCATGGCATTCAGGACGAACATTAAAGTCATCTTCAGCTATGCATTTGACAAATGCATCCATGAACACAGGGTCTATGAATTCCCCAATACCAAAGGAAAGTGTAATATCTCGGCCAGTCAATGACTCTGTCCCAAAGTGCATCAAAGTTTTCCTGAATGGAATTCAATAAGCATTCTGGAGTATGGAAGGAAAAGAATGAAAGCTTGAAAATGAAATCAGAATGAACCTTTTCAATGGAGAGTCATCTGCACAAAGGAAGGCATGCATACGCAAGGAAAACTCTAAATTGGGTGGAGGACGAGACAGAATGCCATGCTTGAAGGTTGAATAAAATTTGGATGGCTTCTTGGTTAGTCTCTTTCCAGGAAACTTGAACATAGGCAGATCATCTAGAATCGGCCACTTTAATGCAGAAGTGGTGTCTTTTCCGATTGTTTTGTTACTGCATGCTTCAGGAAGTTCAGGAGCATAAGGAGAGTTATGCTCAGAACAGGAATGGTGGGAGGCAGATGAAGTAGGAATAGTTTCAGTATAAGAGAAGCCTTGTGGCTAAAAGAAGAAAAAAAGAAAAGATAAGATTCTTGATCAATATAATTTAAAACTCGAAATAAAATACTTTAGATTTATTGAGAGAACAAGAAGCTAAGTCAGTAAAATAGCAATGAAATAATAGTGTGCATGTTAAAAATCAAAAGAGGAGCTGACATTGAAATTGGAATTGAGACGTACATGACTAACTGAATAACAAATAGGAAAATGAAATAAGGTATGGTGGACAAATAATTGAATGTTCAAATAAAAATAGTAGAATAGTATTAGAAAATTGGTTTACAAGTTCAAAATCAAATGAAGGGTGCTGTCGACATTGACATGTCAATGAAAATGACTGTGCACTAAGTACAAGACAAAAGGTATCCCTTTTCAGATGAATCAGAAAACCAGTGACTTGTGGCAGTAAAATGTTATCTAACAGCATACAGGATGGTGCCAAAAACACAAGCATATATACAAAACTAATGTTATTGAATTAACAGATAGGTGCACTTACATGAATAATTCGGCCTCTATGTAAAGGAGGATCATTTTGTACCAACTCAGTCTACCAAAAAGAGAAAAATCAGGAAACTAGTAACAGATGCCACCTCAGGAATATTAAAACTAAGGAAATGATAGATGCTGTATAAATGTAATTTAGTTGTTAATTTAAAAAGAAGGGTGGAATGAGTTTTAGCAGAACGTTAGACGGACTCACATATGTACGGCTGGTCACAATAGACGATGATTGTTGATGTCCTAATTGGTCCATTGTTGACAGAAAAAGTGGGGAATAATCGAACCCATAGGCTGAAAGTACATAGGATGAAAAATAGCAGACATAAAATTAAGGGAAAAACTATGAAACAAAAAGAAAAGCATGGTAACCGTGTGGAGAAGGTGTTGGGCTGCCGTCTTCCGAGGTGGTGCTTCGTACTGGAGCCATAATCGGAGTGTGAACTGGACTGTTAGGATGAAGAGGTAGGATCATTTGTGACAATGAAGGAACCTGTGTGGACGAAAAGGAAATAAAATATATAATTTCAGTTTGCTGTAAGAACTAAATTGTAAACATGAAAAGGAGGCCGTGGACATACCTGAGGTGGGAAAAGAGTTAGGAGCATGTGAGAAAACTGAAGTATCAGTCAACAGAAATCATAATAAAGGATAGTAAAAAAGTGATGCAGTTAGCACAATGGAACAATAGTCGAAAATATGAGGAAAAACAAACTATGAGGGGTGCACCAGAAACATCTTTTGAAGAGGTGCGCATCGGTGCAGTTGATGGACGAGGTAAGTCCTCAGAAATGTGAGGGGGTGAAACTACACAATGAACAGGGGAGCCAAATGGGCCTGTCGGTGAAGTGGGGTTAAATGAACTAGGACCTACAAATGTAGAAGACATGAAACATAACGAAAATGACATAACAAAACAAATAGAAATAGCAAAGAATGGAGATAAAAAACATGCAATTGGGGAAGTAGACAATACCTGATCAATCTGGCTCCGAAGTAAAGTACCAGCAGAAACAAAGCTACCATGAGAATAAATCTCATGACTTGGGCATAAATGGAAAAAAATGTGTGACTATATTTGATACGTAGCAATAAGACATAGGGTGAGATAACGAATTTATCAACTAAAGCAAGAGTTTGTCTGGCATTGAAGGCGGGGTACAATGGGCTGATTCACGGGTACCATGATCGTTGCGTGTATGCATTGTCCTAGAAGTGTCACCTGGAATGTTGGTGTCCCGGGTTTGTGATGCCACGAGTTCATGAATGAATGGACGACATTGATCAGCTAACCGAAACTGGGCTCTCACAATGTTTGCAATAGAATTCTCAATGGACCTTTTGTTCTGAGAGAGTGTGTGATCAAACTCAGAAAAGAAACCCCGTACTCTCTCTCTCTCTCTCTCTCTCTCTCTCTCTCTCTCTATCGAGCCAGTCAGATCATCTAGCGTCTCAAATAACAAATCCAGGAGGCATGGGATGTTTAAATTGGGTATTCCTGCCGCAGGAACATTTATGTTATGACAGGGAGCACCACGAACATCTGCAGCAGCATAGCAGGTGGTACTCCATGGCTTGAACTGTTAGAGATAGCATTGAAGTGAAGAAAACAAGCTTCTTAATAATATGGTTGTAAAAAAGAAAAGGAATATAACAGATAAGATAGCTGACTCACAGGTTGGACACCAAAAGTATGTGCACCCTGAGTGGTTATAGTTGTATCAGCAACAGTTAAGCGATCTATTAGAGCATTATCATAAAAGGTGAGGCGTGGAGTCGAAGTCCGGTCCACCAATGAGACAGGGTGGTCAATGTTGTCAAGATAGTATACCTGTTGACAAAAAAGAGGGGTGAAAAAATTAGCACAGCCATACATTGTTAGGTGGTAGGAAAGCTGCAAAAAATAAATAAAAAGAATTGAAAATCTTGTGAGTTTTCATAACAAGATGAACAGTGGTAATTGACAAAATGACAAGCCAAAGTGCAATGAAAGAATATTGGTGATTTGTGATAGCAAAATTGAAATCCATGTATATTAAATTGTTCTCTAATTATGTGTCCATGCATCAGATAATTTACATATAAATTTCAAAAGAAAAGAATCATAAACAAGATTAGATAAGCTGTAAATGAATATACCTAGTTTAGTCTATTCATTTAGAAAAAACTAATTCCATATTGCAACAGATTAACCTTTTCTTGTCGCAGAGGGACCTCATATCTAAATGGGGAATAATCACATTAATATCATCCTAGAGAGAAAAGCAGCTCCAACACATGAAAAATGCCACTAAAAAAACATGTACTTACCATTGTTGTGTGCTCTCAAAAACAATCCTTTTTGGGTTGTCAAGCATCTTATCAACCAGCTCCAACCGGAATATGAAGACATTGAATCAGAATCTATTTAGAATACCGCATTCCTATACATCTCAAATTTACAAATATTGATTTGAGAAACTGCGAGCTGCTGCAAATGGAGGTGGATGCTTGGTGGTCATCGTTCCAGGGGAAGAACCTCTCACAGGTGGAAGAAGAAAAATCGGAAATTAATGTGGAAAAATAATACCCAACAGGTGGAAGAAAAATGAGAAATTAAAATGCAAGAATTATAAATGTGAACCACAACGACAAGGTGAAGTCCCAGTACCTGGAGGGGACGCGGCAGCTTTGCTCGGCGTTGAATGTCTACTGGCCAAGACGTGGTATTCCCGCGCACTGCGGCTGCCGGACACTACCGTGGCCGTGCAAGTTTGCTGCTCCAACACCCTCAAGCAGCTACAGCAGGCCGCGGCCAACGGCGGCAAGGCGCGACTAGCGGCGTCCCGTCTCTGTCCCCTCAAGGCCTCAAGGATGCGAAGCAGGGCAGCGACGGTGGGTTGTGGGGCGACACCGGCGGGGGCGGCACCGGCGGCGAGCGGACGGGAGTCCAGCGGAGGTGGGTTGAGGAGGAGCGCCGGCGGGGGTTGGTCCGAAGCAGGCGAGCGGAGAGGGGGCGGACGGGCGGTGCCGGCGTAGGAAGGGAAGAGACCGAGCGGATGGGGGCGAGGAAATTGAAACCGCATCTGGGTTGGGAGAGCTCCCGAGCTGCTAAACCAATCGAGCTCGTCCGTTGGTGGGCCGGGCCTGTGAGCCTGAACGGCGGGGTGCAGGCACGGTGGGCATATTTGTCTGCCAACAGGACGCTGGGTACTGAATAATTATTTAGTACCCAGGTACCACATATATATATATATATATATATATATATATATATATATATAATTTGGTGGTGCAAGACTGCAAGGCAAACGCCACAACGGTTTCCGGGTCGGTGTGCCTACGGACCACGTGGCGGCCACGTGGTCCTGGAATGCTCACGCACGGTCGACGCCGGCGCGATCCTGGTCTGCATGGGGCGCCACCATCGCCGCCTCGTCGCCATCACGCGCCACCATTGGCCGAGGCCCGAGGGGTGGAGGGGGCGCGGCGTGGACGCCATGATCAGCTCCGGCGACGGATCCTCCGCCCGGTCGAGATCCAGACGGCTGCAGCATTCAATCTAGTTTGGTGCGGGCAGATCGTGCCATCATTTGCCCAGGCCCCTCTTCATCACTGCTCACGCCCTCAGCGGGAAGACAGAAAGCCACTGCGTTGAGCTGCCAGCACAGTGACGCACCTCGCACAGGCACAACTTTGGCAACGAGAGGTAAAGGCGCCTCGCCGCCGGTGGCGGTAGCTGCACTGCCATGCACGTCAATGCCCCTCAGACACCCTTGGCCCCCACCACTCTACTCTAGTCTAGCCCAAAACGGTAACAAACGCGCTTACGGGAGGGTAAAGCCGTCAATGCCACACCCACACTCTGCCACTGCCAGCCTCTACTAAAACCTCTTTCAGAAGCTCGTCACTGAGCACTGTCGTCCACTGCCGCCAAAGCAAAGCAAAGCAAAGCACGCAATGGCATCTCCGGCCACCGTCGCAGCCCTCCTAGTCGTCCTCGCCTTGCTTGCCCAGCCGGCCGCGTCGTCGGGGTGCTCGGCAGCGGACCGCGACGCGCTGCTATCAATCCGCGCGGCGCTGTCGGAGGAGCGGCTGGGCGTGTTCTCGTCATGGACGGGCACGGACTGCTGCGCGGGCTGGTACGGCGTGGCGTGCGACCCGACCACGGGGCGCGTCGCGGACCTCTCCCTGCGCGGGGAGGCCGACGACGCGGTGATGGCTCCCGCGGGGCGGCCGGCGTCAGGGGTCATGTCCGGGTACGTATCCGACGCCGTGTGCCGCCTGGACCGCCTCTCGACGCTGGTGCTGGCGGACTGGAAGCAGATCTCGGGGCCCATCCCGGCCTGCGTCGCCACGTCGCTCCCATACCTCCGCATCCTCGAGCTGCCCGGGAACCGCCTCACGGGCGCCATCCCGCCGCTGGCGGCCGTCGGCGGCGGGCTGTCGCGCCTCGCCGTGCTCGACCTCGCCGACAACCTGCTCTCCGGCGGCATCCCGCCCTCCCTCACGTCGCTCGCCCAGCTCAAGCACCTCGACCTCGCCAACAACCGCCTCACCGGCCGCGTCCCGCCGGACTTCGGGCGGCTCCGGATGCTCAGCCGCGCGCTGCTGGGACGGAACCGGCTGTCGGGCCCCATCCCGGCGTCGGTGGCGTCGCTGCCCCGGCTCGCCGACCTCGACCTCTCCGAGAACCAGCTGACGGGCGCGATCCCTGAGGGGCTGGGCCGCGGCTCCGGGACCGGCGGGAATGGCGGCAACGTGCTGACGTCGCTGTACCTCGGCGGGAACCGGCTGTCGGGCGGCGTCCCGGCGAGCCTGCTCGCGAACAGCGGGCTCGGGATGCTGAACCTGAGCCGGAACGCGCTGGGCGGCGGCATCCCCGACGCGTTCACCCCGCGGTCCTACTTCATGCTGCTGGATCTGTCGCGGAACCGGCTCACCGGCGGCGTGCCGCGGTCGCTGGCCTCGGCCGCGTACGTGGGCCACCTGGACCTCAGCCACAACCGGCTCTGCGGCAGCATCCCCGCCGGCCCGCCGTTCGACCGCCTCGACGCCGAGTCGTTCGCCAGCAACAGCTGCCTCTGCGGCGGCCCGCTCGGCAAGTGCACGTGACGCCGCCCATACGGTCGCTAGATTTGTTACCGTGCTACGTATAGCAAGTAGTCTGTGATGACGTGGTGTACCGTATGTGCATGCACGGCGCGTAACAAACTTTCTAGTAGGTCCGTGCGTGGGCGGATGCATGTATGCGTACGTGCGTGCTGCCTGGGTCTTGTTTAGTTTCTCCCACTCTCTTCTAAAGTTTACTCCTTATTATATCGGAGGTTATACACATCCGTAAAGTATTAAATATAGACTAAAAATAACTAATTACACAGATTGAGGCTAATTTACGAGACGAATTTTTTATGCCTAATTAGTTCATAATTTAACAATGTGGTGCTCCAGTAAATACGCGCTAGTGACGGATTATTTAGCCTTAATAAATTCGTCCAGCATATTACTGAGAACTTTAGTAATTTGTTTTATTATTATTGTCCGAACGTACATGACATCCGATATGATATTCCTAAACTTTATTTCCTGAATTTAAACACCTTAGTTAATATAATATGTTAATCTTATAGGTTGGCTGGTGGTAAAATGGTAATAATGGATATATAGATGACGATAACTTGCGTCGTTGTGGTGTGCGTGATGAGGAAGTTAAATGCGTGAGGAAAACAAGAATGCTCGTCTTTCCTCCTATTCATTCCTCTCTTTTTTTCTTTCTTTCTTTATCTTCTTTTCTTTTATTTTAAAAAGAACTTGGGTTTGTACAAGTGTCTGAATGAAGCAAAAGAGTAAGCTACTAGCTTGTGCTCTGAGCTTGTATGAGAAGTTGAGTGGATAATGCTGAGCTGAATGTGCATGCCTTGGAGTTGTAAATAGTGGATGGGACAACTGTCAACTATCAGTGCCATCGGTAGTAGATTATCCAAGTATACTGTCTGTGAGATCGTGCTATGCTTGGACATCAGCACGTGCTACCAACGTGCATTGGGATATCAGATGGGGCCGGCGGTGGGCAATGCATTCCATGTGGGATGCAAACGGTTAGATTAACCTCTCCAAACCTATATTTCCATGCGGTCCCTCGCACCGGCCACGTCACCCGAAATTCTCCCAGCGTGTCCACGTCGCCCATATTTCCCTCCCGTGGACAACATTGAGCCACGTCGCCTGAAAAAACGCCGTCCATACACTGGCCTTCCTTCTCCACTTCCCGGCTCTCCCTCTCCTCTCCACTTCCTCTCCCTCCCTCTCGCTCTCCTCTCTCCAGATCTGGCGACGGAGCGCCGAGCCCACGGCGGCCGCCCTCCGGTGCGGCGGGGGCTCAGCGGTGGGCTGAGCCACGGGCGTACATCTCTCCTCCTTTCTCCGCCCCCGCCGGCCTTCCTCCCTCTCTCCCTCTCTCCAGATCCGGCGAGGCGGTGCGCCCACGCGCCCTGTAACAGAACCGACCAATTATACGAAATTAAGTAAGAAAATCAACCGCCAGAGCAGACAATTTAGCAAACTTAAGTCCGTATAACCCGGTAGTCCGTGAAATCACGAATGATTTCAAACCAACTCACATACCAGCCAAGATCGTAATAAGTTTAGCGGTCACCATCACATATTACATAAAAGTTTGCATCACAGGTACATCGGAGTTTAAACATAGTTATTACAAACCGAGTTCAAATAGAAGTAACGGAAGCCATTTGTTTAAAACCACACACACTCACACGGAGTTCAAGTACAGTGGCAGCTGATGATCATCTCCAACAAAAGCATTAGACGAGACGTAAGGAATGACCATGCCCATGGTCCTAAGCATCACCCATCGCAGGATAAAGGCAGTTGATACAGTAGCCGTAATACATCTGCCCATCTGCAACAGGTGGGAACAAAACCCCGAGAAGGTACTCAGCTAGACTTACCCGACATAACCGAAAATAAAGTGACACCAAGGATTATGAAGGGCTTTATAGTAGGGTAGCTGACTCATTTGCAAAAAGGCATTTTTAGCATTTCAAGAACCTTTCCAAAAGCATTATTGTCAAGTTAAATATTATTAACATGTCGACTACATTTGCACCTATACTAGAGCAAGCATGTGATTAAGCAAATAATAATAACCAATGATCATTAACAACTTACATAATGTCATATCCATTATAACTGTCCAAGTGTTCCATTACTACGATGAAGTAACTCAAGTCAAGTGTTCACTATCTAGTGAACGATGGCGATTCGAATCGATTATTAACTAGCCGGTAATTTATTCCTTACACAAACCTCACTCACCCGCTAAAGTGAGGTATTGGTCACCGAGTCAACTATCCAGGAAAATTCTCGAGTTTGCCAGGAACCACATGTACCCGGGGGTCGACCGACTGCCTTTCGGTCTTATCATCGCGCCCCCGTGTCCTACCACACCTGCTCCGGTACAGTGCGCTGCGGGCAATCCACTCGGCCCGAATAATCTCCTAGCTTCGCGGTCGAAAGGTACGTTATTCGGCCAGCTAAATGTAAGGCATGCGTTCAACAGGACCCGAGGCCCAACAACGGTCCGTCCTTAATCGACATAGACGGAAAGCACTACAGTCCAAAACCCTTTAAGTCTCCGTCCGGTCTCAACTTCAAATTAACACTTAGTTATACCATGACTACATAGTTATCCGAGCAAATCTAGGTAACCACCTATAGCTCGTAGGTGACAGGAAATCACCTGACTTCTACCGGTCTAAGCCAGCTAAGCATTGACTCAACTGCGGATACCAGGGTAACAAGGATATAGTATAACAAAGGTAAACAAGGTATAATGCAGCAACGGTTGTAAACAACTCCTGAACGTAATGCATCAATTAAAGTAAAACGTTAATTAATAACCGCAAACCGGGGAGAAAAATGCTTCGGGGCTTGCCTCTCTCGAAGGAGCTCGGGCGGTGATCGGGGCACTCTGGACGTTCCTCAATGTCCACCTCGTCTGCTTCGGTCACTTCTTACGGCTGCACCTCAAGCTGCTCCTCGGGCTCGACGACCGGGCTCTCGGTTTGCGATCCTATATGATGCAGGTGCGTAAGTGCCTATGCAAAAGGTGCATTGGATGAAATGAACACAATGAATAAGCTTGCTGACAGGCGAGACCCGCGAAACAGTGACCCCACTTGTCAGCGAAACGGAACAGAGCAGCGGCGCTGCACAATCCATGCACGGCCAGAGCTCGTCGACGGCGAGTTCGCCGGTGGTGACATCTACACGGGACGACCCTTACGACCTAACGCATCGATTGCACTACTTGGCTGGCCCTCTCATCGGCGCTAGCGACGACGGCGGCAACCATGGCGGCTCGGAGGAGCGGGACGGCTGCGGCACACCGGAGGAGGCCACGGTGGCTCAACCTAAAGCTCAGACGAGCATCAATGAACTACGGTGGACCTATTGCGCGCTCTAACGTGGCACGCGGTGGTCAGAGTCAGCCGGACCACGGTGACGGAGTGTGGCGGCGGAGCAACGGCGAGCTCTTGTGCGGTGCGGTGGCTTACCGAGCGTGGTCAGTGAGCACGGGAGGATGCGGTGAATCACAGGAGTGATGGTGGAGGGGTTGCGGTGGTGGAGAAGCGAGGCGAGGCAAGCTGGCGACCGGCAATCGACGGCGGCGAGCTGCGCTGCTGCTGCGGTGCGCGCACAGGCGAAGGAGGAGGCAAAAAAATTGGAAATGAGGGCGTGGGGAGGGAGCGGGCGGACACTGGGGTGTTAAGGCGTGCACTGGCCCGTCTCTACCGCGCGGGGCAGGACGCCGGCGACGCGCGGCCGCTGCTGGCCTCCACGCGGCGCGTGGGGCTCTGCTTCTGTCGGCCACCGAGTTGTTCATTTCAGCCGATTCAGAAACCAAATTGGATGCCTGACAACGGGTTTTGCAATCGAATTAACTAAAAATCCATGGCTCCGTTGTGCAAACATCCTAAACCGAATTGGTAGACCTATGTACCAGCTCCAATTCGTATTCAATGAACTCGTGCTAATTCGCAACCAAAACCAAGTTATATCATCTCAAAGTTGGGCTGTCAGCACTATCAGTGTACCAGACTTAACCAGATTTGCTAAGTGTTGAACTCAGTGATTTATTCATTTTTGTGAGCCCAAAAAGACTAAGCTATGCACTTCATTATCTCCTGACCCAAAAATAAAAGTTGTTCTCCATATCAAATACTACAACTTTGCTTTAGTGACCACCTACATGCAAAGTCTCTAGCATATGATTCAAACTTGGTCAAACATGCTTCCTTAAAAAGATGACTCATATATGAACTATGACTTAGTGACTCATTTAGCCCTAGCCATGAATACCAAAGTTGTTCATAATGATACTCTAAACATGTTTAAGCTATTTGCAAGGTCACACAATCATTCACATGTATTCACTCATGATCATATGCTTATATTCTAAGAAACATGAAATAACAAGCAATGTTGCATATGTTTCAATCTCATGTTTCAATTGTAAATGCTCATATATGAATGCTCGATGCTCATGCTCATGCTATGCAAGTCAATTTATGCAAGGCTAACACCTAGGGTGTTACAGCCCTCCCCCCTTATAAAAATCTCGTCCCGAGATTTGGGTTACGAACCATTTGTTATAAAAATCTTCATAAGTTTTTTGTAGATATTCTCCCGTTTCCCAAGTTGCATCCCCCTCATCATGATGATTCCACTGTATCTTGTATGTTTTCACCACACTATTCCGAGTAGCACGTTCTTTAGTGTCTAAAACACGGACCGGTTGCTCACGATACACCAAATCTTATTTGAGTTTGATGCCTCGAGGTTCTATTCTTTCCTCCGGAACACGCAAACACTTCTTGAGTTGTGATACATGGAAAACTGGGAAGACGGTACTCATTGTCTCAGGTAACTCTAACTTATAAGCTACTGGACCCCTTCTTTCCAAGATCTTGTATGGTCCAACGAATCTAGCGGCAAGCTTTCTTCGGACTCCAAACCATTTCTTCTTCATTGGCGTGACCTTCAGATAAACATAGTCACCAACTTCAAACACAAGGGGTCTCCTTCTATCTGCA